GACACCACAGAAACACTTGGCCAAACCCCTATACCCTTTCAAAGGATACAAATTGATCATATCCAGATGCCAAAGAGTGGGCGGTTTGAGTACACCCTAGTGGTGTTGGACATGTTTTCCAGTTGGCCAGAGGCCTTTGCTGTAACTAACAGGACTGCTAAAACAACTGTGAAGAAACTCTTCACTGAGGTTGTATGCAGATATGGGCTTCCAGAGGTGATAGAGAGTGACCAGGGCCCCGCTTTCACAGCTTCAGTAACCAAAGAAATATGGGCGGCATTAGGAGTCACTCTGGCGTTCCATACCCCCTATCACCCCCAAAGTAGTGGGAAAATAGAAAGAATGTTAAAAGTAGCCCAAGAGAGGTAACTGGCATGAGTTGGCCCAGACAGTCTGCTTATTGCCCTATTTAGTGTCAGATACACACCAAGAGAGAACACTCCCTATCCCCTTATGAGATTTTGTTTAGCTCAGCCCCCATATTTGGTTGTTATTTTCCACAACAGTTGCAATTACAATTGATGTGTTAACTGATTATGTGACTGTATTATCACGTGAATTAAACCCGTATCCATGTCCAAGTGTTTTCTCCATTCCAGATTGTGAGTCAGATACAGGAACTCACAAGCCTATTACCCGGAGATTGGGTATAATTAGTAAAGACATTCATGAGGAAACATTCCCTTGAGCCAAGATATGATGGTCCATTCCAAGTTCTGCTGACCACAGCCCCTTCTGACAAGGTGGCCAGGAAGAACACTTGGATACACGCCCTCCCACTGCAAGAAAGTCCGGAACCCTGAGGGAAAGGCGTCATCTACACCATGACAACTATGTTGTATATCCTTTTTCTAATGAGTCTGACAGAGGCTCAACAGGTGGATATCACTGAAATAGGTGACACCACTATATTTTGATACAACTTATCCAACACTCATGTAGCTATTTACACCTTTGATTTCTGTAGTATAGATCCCATGTGGTGCTATGACCGTAATCTATATGATCTTGACACAACGGAGCATGTTTCTGATAGTAGTGACCAGGTATACATATGTGTCATGGATGATTACTGGGGACCAAAAGATTAGATTAAGATTGGAAGGGATTTGGACTGGTGAGTATGCCCTTGTAAAGGCCATTATGCCTCTCCACATCCTAGCAGAGAATATCCCTGACCCAACGCCTGGCCGTAGGAGGAAACAAAAAGCTCCTTCTGGTAGTTTTGACCCACATGTGTATATAGATGCCATTGGAGTCCCAAGGGGGGTGTCTAATAAATTTTAAAGCCAAAGACCAAGTAAAGCAGGTTTTGAATCCCTGATTCCCATGATAACTTGTTAATAAAAATGTAGATTAGATAAATTACATATACTACAACCAACAGAGGTTTGTGAATTACACCAGGGATGCCCTTCAAGGAATCGTTGACCAGTTAGCCCCTACATCCTACATGACATTCCAGAATAGGATGGCTCTAGACATGATTTTAGCAGAAAAAGGGTTTTTGGGGTGTCTGTAAAATGATAGAAGGAACGGAACATGTTGTACATATATTCCTGACAATACTGGCCCGAATGGTAAGGTTACTCTGGGTATAAATAAATGGAAGATCTGTCAGTGGAGCTGAAGAAGAACTCAGGTATCTCAGACCCGTGGGATCAATATTTCAGTTGGATGAGTGGGTGGAAAAAAGTGCTCGCCCAAATAGGGGTAACTTGTACTAATAATTCTAGTTCTTTTAGCTCTGATTGTATGTTGTATTCTACCATTTGTAAAAGAAGTTAATAAGCAAAGCTGTAGACAACAGAACACCTACCTTCCTGAACCAGGACCAAGAGGATCCCCATATGATGGATGAAGAAAAAACCTTACACCCCATTACGGTCCCTCCCCGCCAATAGTAATCTCACAATTTTGTAGGGATAGCATCTGACTTCCTTATGTACAAAGTCTGTGGCAAGGGAGGTGATGAAATAGTCATCACTTGTCTAACGTACAGCAACAAAAGAGTTCCAAGGTACATAAGGACAGATGAGCTAGGCTTTATAGGGACAGAGTAAAATAGTCATTTTAAGGGGGGACTGTGATGGATTTGGTAAAATGCCTATTTCGTTTCCTATTGAATATATATATTATACGCTTATTTCTATAAGTTTTATAAATATTTACTTTTATACTTTAATACATATGTTGTGTGAATATTTTCTGCCTGCTGGGCTTTGTGGTACTTTAAGAAATCCTTGCTTAAGAAATATTTGCTCACAGGAACAGACCCCCTCCCAATCGTGTGATTTGGAAGACAAAAGAATGTTTTTCTCTTTTTTAAGATAAGACTGAAGAAGATCACACCTATACCATGACGGAGATTGTTTTCGTGTAAAGTGACCAATCAAAGACTAATATAATGCTTATGCTGTTATCACGTGCTGTTCGCATCATTTTTCATATATAAACTCACGGTTTCATTTCAATAAATTAGAGAGAGAAGTTTTCACAGACCAAAAGGTGTCAGTGTGAGTTTCTTTATGTGCGCACATTCCACAAGCTGGCCAGCGTCATAAATTTTGGAGAGGAACAGATAAGCACTGGATGATTAAGTCCAAGACTAAAACAACACCAATGATGGGGCACTATTCCTCCCAACTGACACCAATGATGGGGCACTATTCCTCCCACTGACATCAATGATGGGGAACTATTCCTCCCACTGACACCAATGATGGGGCACTATTCCTCCCACTGACACCAATGATGGGGCACTATCCTCTCACTGACATCAATGATGGGGAACTAATTCCTCCCACTGACACCAATGATGGGGCACTATTCCTCCCACTGATACCAATGATGGGGCACTATTCCTCTCACTGACATCAATGATGGGGAACTATTCCTCCACTGACACCAATGATGGGCCACTATTCATCCCACTGACACAATGATGGGCCACTATTCATCCCACTGACACCAATGATGGGCCACACTATTCATCCCACTGACACCAATGATTGGGGCACTATTCCTCTCACTGACACCAATGCTGGGGAACTATTCCTCCCACCTGACACCAATGATGGGGCACTATTCCTCCCACTGACATCAAATGATGGGGAACTATTCCTCCCACTGACAACCAATGATGGGGCACTATTCCTCCCACTGACATCAATGATGGGGCACTATTCCTCCCACTGACACCAACGATGGGGCACTATTCCACTGACACCAACAATGGGCACTATTCCGACACTAGCAACGGGACAGTATTCCTCCACTGACACCCTGGGGCATGTTGTTGATGAGAGCATGTTTTCTACTCGACTATATTACCTATTTTTGTCTTTGGAAATAAGTGGTGTCTCAGTTAATGCACGAGGCTCTCGAGTTCTTTCACATGTAGACACCAGCGATTAGGTTGTCTTGAGAGGGAAAGAGAACCAGCCAAAAGTTACGACAACTTGTATATTTTAGGGTACTGCTGCTCTCTCGGTGCTGCCCTCCACAATCCTCCTGCCCTAGACACTTTCCCACAGGTACACATTTGGCCAATGCAGCCTTGGTTCCTGGTGGAGACTAGTGGAGGCAACTGCAAACCCCAAAGGGGTTCATCCATAATGGTGAGATGAGGGAAGGGTAGGCAGGAGCAACCTGCATTGTGACGCACCCGCCATACCAGCTCATGTATGGAAACACCTCGGGGGTCCTTCTTCAAGAGCTCCAGAGAAGGCCGATTTGGACCTCCAGTTAGTGAAGACACTTCAGAGATCATAGCAGGTTTTGCGATGTTTGAAGCTCACCTGATCGTTAGACATGTGTAAGCCAGAAGGTTGTTTTGTTTCCTTTCAGATGCATTCGTTCATTGAAGAATTTTGTTTTTTGACCCGATTTGTTTTCTGGCCAATTTGCACACAAATTTCCACAGACACCAAAATGTTGTGGAAAGCCACAAAGTACCAACAACATATTAATAGCCATGATTTTGGAATAGGATGTCCAGCAAGTTCATATAGGTGTGATGCAGGGGCGGACTGACCATTTGGAAACCCAGGGTCAGTAGGGGGCCCCATGAGATGCCCCTGGTACCTTTTTCATAGGCTTTTTTGAGTTTGGGCAAGGACACAGGGGCCCCATGATCCCCTATTGCCCGGGGGCCCCATGAGTTGTCAGTCCGCCCCTGGTGTGATGGTCAGATGTCCACCAACGTTTGCCAGTCTTGTATATGCTACTTCTTACAAGAAGAATGTTAGATATGGGCGGGTGAGGCTTGGTCTTCATGGTAGCATATATATATAATATTCATAGCATTTCCCCATAAGTGGATATTTTTCATGAAGATTGTGGAGGACTGTTTGCATGCGTATGTTGGGTTCCACAGTGCCAAGAGATACTTAAGTGACACCCCACCAATTCTTCATCATGTCCATTAATATATTATTATTATTACACAGGATTTATATGGCGTCAACAGTTTGCTCAGCACTTTACAATATAACGGGAGAAAATACAGCAACAATACAGTTCACTACAAGAGGGAAAGGAGGTCCCTGCTCCTTGGAGCTTACAATCTAAGAGGGAGGGGCTAGTGGTACAAAAGGTAGTAACTGTGGGGGATGGACTGGTTGGAAGAGTAGAAGATTCCAGTATTAGCTGAGAGCAGGATAGTCTTCCCTGAAGAGATAGGTTTTCAGAGATCGCCTAAAAGTGAGCAGAGTAGGCGATAGTCTGATAAATAGGGGTAGAGAGTTCCAGAGGATGGGGGAAGCTCTGGAAAAGTCTTGGAGACAAGCATGGGAGGAGGAGGCAAGGGAGCTAGAGAACAGGAGGTCTTGCGAGGAGCGGAGAGGACAGTTTGGGTGATATTTGGAGACAAGATTGGTGATGTAATTTGGGGCGGAGTTATAAATGGCTTTATACGTTATTGTTAATGTTTTGAATTTTATCCGTTGGGCAATGGGAGGCCAGTGGAGGGATTGGCAGAAAGGGGTGGAGGACACTGAGTGGAGGCCAGCGGAGGGATTGGCAGAGAGGGGTGGAGGACACTGAGTGGAGGCCAGTGGAGGGATTGGCAGAGAGGGGTGGAGGACACAGTGGAGATTAGCAGGAGGACACAGTGGAGGGATTGGCAGAGAGAGGGGTGGAGGACACTGAGTGGAGGTCAGTGGAGGGATTGGCAGAGAGGGGTGACTGAGTGGAGGTCAGTGGAGGGATTGGCAGAGAGGGGTGGAGGACACTGAGTGGAGGTCAGTGGAGGGATTGGCAGAGAGGGGTGGAGGACACTGAGTGGAGGCCAGTGGAGGGATTGGCAGAGAGGAGGACACTGAGTGGAGGCCAGTGGAGGGATTGGCAGAGAGGGGTGGAGGACACTGAGTGGAGACCAGTGGAGGGATTGGCAGAGAGGGGTGGCGGATACAGAACGGTTAGTAAGGTGGATAAGTCTGGCAGCAGCATTCAGGATAGACTGAAGAGGGGATAGCCTGCGATGAGGTGGGTCAATGAGGAGGGAGTTGCAATTGTCAAGGCGAGAGATAACAAGGGAGGGAATAAGTTGCTTAGTGGTTTCCGAGGTTAGGAACGGGCGTATCTTGGAGATGTTGCGGAGGTGAAGTCTACAAGATTTGGACAGTGAATGGATTTGGGGGTGAAAGGACAGATGGGAGTCTAGGATTACACCTAGTACCCTGGCATGAGGGGAGGGACTGATGATTGTGTTGTTGATCTTGATGGAGAAGTCAGGGGGGGGGCATGAGCTGGGGGGAATACTAAAAGCTCAGTTTTGGAAAGATTAAGTTTGAGGAAGTGGAGTGACATCCATGCCGATATGTCACTTAGTAGGTTAGTAATGCGAGAGGAGACTGAAGGGGTGAGGTGAGGAGGAGGAGACTGAAGGGGTGAGGTGAGGAGGAGGAGACTGAAGGGATGAGGTGAGGAGGAGACTGAAGGGGTGAGGTGAGGAGGAGACTGAAGGGGTGAGGTGAGGGGTAGAAAGATAGATTTGTGTGTCATCCGCATAGAGATGATACTTAAAGCCGTGGGAATTTATCAAGTGACCAAGGGAGGAGGTGTAGATGGAGAAGAGAAGGGGTCCAGGGACAGAACCTTGAGGGACCCCTACAGAAAGAGGGAGAGAAGAGGAGGAGGCAGCGTTATAGGTAACTCTGAAGGAGCGCTGCGATAGGTAGGAAGAGAACCAGGAGAGAGCAGAGTCTCTGAGACCAAGAGAGTGGAGTTTTTTGAGGAGGAGGGGATGGTCAACCGTATCAAAAGCCGCAGAGAGATCAAGTAGTAAGAGTATGGAGTAGTGGCCATTGGTTTTAGCTGTTAATATACACTCACCGGCCACATTATTAGGTACACCTTGCCAGTGCCAAGAAAATATCCCCCACACCATTCCACCACCACCATCAGCCTGAACCGTTGATACAAGGCAGGATGGATCCACCACACCATGAGACCACCACCACCAGCCTGAACTGTTGATACAATGTAGGATGGATCCACCACACCATGACACCACCAGCCTGAACCATTGATACAAGGTAGGATGGATCCAACACACCATGACACCACCACCACCAGCCTGAACCATTGATACCAGGTAGGATGGATCCAACACACGATGACACCACCACCACCAGCCTGAACCATTGATACAAGGTAGGATGGATCCAACACACCATGACACCACCACCACCAGCCTGAACCATTGATACAAGGTAGGATGGATCCACCACACCATGACACCACACCCACCAGCCTAAACCATTGATACAAGGTAGGATGGATCCATGCTTTCATGTTGTTTACGTCAAATTCTGACCCTACTATCTGATTGTTGCAGCTGAAATTGAGACTCAACAGACCAATCAATGTTTTTCCAATCTTCTGTTGTCCAATTTTAGTGAGCCTGTGGGAATTGTAGCCTCCATTTTCCGATCTTAGCTGACAGGAGTGGCACCTAGTGTGGTCATCTGCTGAAGCCCATCTGCTTCCAGGTTCTATGTGTTATGCGTTCAGAGATGGCATCTTCATACCTTGGTTGTACCAAGTGGTTTTTTGAGTTACTGTTGCCTTTCTATCGTCTCGAACCAGTCTGCCCATTCTCCTCTGACCTCTGTCATCAACAAGGCATTTTCGTTCACATAACTGCCACCCACTGGATATTTTCTCTTTTTCGGACCATTCTCTGTAAACCCTAGAGATGGTTTTTCATGAAAATCCCAGTAGATCAGCAGTTTTTGAAATACTCAAACCAGCCCGTCTGGCACCAACAACCATGTCGCATTCAAAGTCACTTAAATCCCCTTTCTTCCCCATTCTGATGCTCGGTTTGAACTTCAGCATATCGTCTTCACCACGTCTAGATGCCTAAATGGATTGAGTTGCTGCCGTGTGATTGGCTGATTAGCAATTTACATTACCAAGCAACTGAACAGGTGGACCTAATAAAGTGGCCGGTGAGTGTATATCTCAATGTTTTCCATGTAAATGTATCTCCTAGCCATGGCCTCTACTGCGTGTCAATTAATTCTGATTACAAGGAACACAACACTCGGCATCCCACTGGTCAGTCAGGGAAAAACTATTTATGTGGCCACTTGCTGAACGGATGTGAAAAATTCTCGATTGACTTGCACTAATATTGAGTAAACATGCAATTTTCAATTGTGTTTTCCTAGTAGTCTAATGCATGTGAACGTAGGAGGAATAATTCTCACTGTAATTACAGTGACAGCTCTATCAAAATGTTCTGTTCACTTCCCACTCCTTGTAGAAAGAAAAAAATACCATGTTCCCAGGCTTGTAAAAAAAAAAAAAAAAAGTAAATCTCAACTAAATACTGGCTGTATAGACATACTTAGCAATCTAGATCCACCGCAGTGCCTGAAAATTACAGAGTAACGATCAGAAAACGGTCCAGCAAAATATTTTTGACGTTGCTAAGATCTCAGACTTTTTCAACGCATGTTCTGTTCCATATTCACTAGTGGGTCTATTTATAAAAAAATTTGCTGGATGAATGTCACCACCATTCACCCAGCCATCATGAATAATAATTTGCCTAATAAGTTGATTTTCTTTAGGTATTTCAGGAAAATACAGCATTATGGTCACTAGATGGAGCTGATGGTCATAGGAAATAATCATTTTAGACAAAATACAGGAATAATTTATGATGGCTGGGTGAATGTTTTTGACATTTGTGCAATTTGTTTTATAAATAGACCCTTATATGCTCTAAGAATGAGGGCACACCTCCAAATGAGGGCCCGAGGTCAGTAGGAGGCCCCATGAGATGCCCCTGGTACCTTTTATTGGCTTTTTCATAGGCTTTTTAGGGTGTGGGTGATGACACAGGGGCCCCATGATTCCCTATTGCCCGGGGGCCCCATGAGCTGTCAGTCCGCCCCTGATCAGTACCTGACCTCAACTCTGCTGAACACCTTTGGGATCAGGTCATCTCATTCAACATCAGTACTTGACCTCAACCCTACTGAACACCTCTGGATCAGGTCTTCTCATTCAACATCAGTACCTGACCTCAACCCTACTGAACACCTTTGGGATCAAGTCTTCTCATTCAACATCAGTACCTGACCTCAACCCTACTGAACACCTCTGGATCAGGTCTTCTCATTCAACATCAGTACCTGACCTCAACCCTACTGAACACCTTTGGGATCAGGTCTTCTCATTCAACATCAGTACCTGACCTCAACCCTACTGAACACCTCTGGATCAGGTCTTCTCATCCAACATCAGTACCTGACCTCAACTCTGCTGAACACCTTTGGGATCAGGTCTTCTCATTCAACATCAGTACTTGACCTCAACTCTACTGAACACCTCTGGATCAGGTCTTCTCATCCAACATCAGTACCGGACCTCAACTCTGCTAAACACCTTTGGGATCAGGTCTTTTCATCCAACATCAGTACCTGACCTCAACTCTGCTGAACACCTTTGGGATCAGGTCTTCTCATTCAACATCAGTACCTGATCTCAACCTTGCTGAACACCTTTGGGATCAGGTCTTCTCATTCAACATCAGTACCTGACCTCAACCCTACTGAACACCTTTGGATCAGGTCTTCTCATCCAACATCAGTACCTGACCTCAACTCTGCTGAACACCTTTGGGATCAGGTCTTCTCATTCAACATCAGTACTTGACCTCAACTCTACTGAACACCTCTGGATCAGGTCTTCTCATCCAACATCAGTACCGGACCTCAACTCTGCTAAACACCTTTGGGATCAGGTCTTTTCATCCAACATCAGTACCTGACCTCAACTCTGCTGAACACCTTTGGGATCAGGTCTTCTCATTCAACATCAGTACCTGATCTCAACCTTGCTGAACACCTTTGGGATCAGGTCTTCTCATCCAACATCAGGACCTGACCTCAACTGTGCTGAACACCTTTGGGATTAGGTCTTCTCATTCAACATGAGTACCTGATCTCAACCTTACTGAACACCTTGGATCAGGGATCAGGTCTTCTCATCCTGAACACCTTTGGGATCAGGACCTGACCTCAATCCTACTGAACACCTTTTGGATCAGGTCTTCTCATTCAACATCAGTACCTGACCTCAACACTACTGAACACCTCTGGATCAGGTCATTTCTCATCCAACCTCTCATCAGTCTTCTTCCTGACCTCAACTCTGCTGAACACCTTTGGGATCAGGTCTTCTCATCCAACATCAGTACCTGACCTCAACCCTACTGAACACCTCTGGATCAGGTCTTCTCATTCAACATCAGTGCCTGACCTCAACCCTACCAAACACCTCTGGATCAGGTCTTCTCATTCAACATCAGTACCTGACCTCAACCCTACTGAACACCTCTCGATCAGGTCTTCTCATCCAACATCAGTGCCTGACCTCAACTCTGCTAAACACCTTTGGGATCAGGTCTTCTCATTCAACATCAGTACCTGACCTCAACCCTACTGAACACCTCTGAATCAGGTCTTCTCATTCAACATCCTGACCTCAACTATCAACACCTCTGGATCAGGTCAACATCAGTACCTGACCTCAACCCTACTGAACACCTCTGGGATCAGTTCTTCTCATCCAACATCAGTACCTGACCTCAACCCTACTGAACACCTTTGGGATCAGGTCTTCTCATTCAACATCAGTACCTGACCTCAACTCTGCTGAACACCTCTCGATCAGGTCTTCTCATCCAACATCTGTACTGACCTCAACTCTGCTGAACACCTCTTGATCAGGACTTCTCATTCAACATCAGTACCTGACCTCAACTCTACTGAACACCTCTCGATCAGGTCTTCTCATCCAACATCAGTACCTGACCTCAACCCTACTGAACACCTCTGGATCAGGTCTTCTCATCCAACATCAG